TAATCAGAGATCGGCACTGCGCATGCGTAAATGACGTCACCAAAACACACACATCCATCCACTACGTATTGGACCATCCAGCTACGTCATCGTGCTACAGGCTGCAGCGAGGGGTGTCTCGGTGATCCTGTAAACACCCATGAGAGCTACGTACAATGCTGTTTTATAAACACCAGATGGCGCCTTTTATCAAATCAATATCATAAAATAGATTAAGCAAGTTATATGTATTGGTTAAAAATATCAGTAAACCCTAGCCTTGTAATGCTGATGATATTGATAGATCAGGTCTGTACTTAGGGTCTAGTATTGTTCTGCTGGTCTAGTTTGATTGACTACTATCAGCAGCTCCTCTATGAGAACTGAGCATGACATGTTATAGCGCACCCTATCGGTGAAAAGAGGCAAGGCAAGTTTATAAAGCACATTTCATACAATGGTAATTCAAAGTGCTTTACATAGAAGAAATTAAAATAATCAAAACATAGAAGAATAATTAAAAAAGCGCTATTCTTAGAGAGACTTGTTTGCATTGTTTGTCTGTGTGAAAGGTATGTTTGGGGGTGGAGTTAGAGCAAGGAGGGAGAATATACAGTTTGTACAGTACAGAAAAAAAAAATATCATATGAAGAGTCCCCACAAAGATAATAAACCAGACATGTGGACCAATGTTTAATAATTAAAGTTAGATACATTTACATAATGATAAGAAGACTGAAATATAACCTTTTAGTTGAGTTTCTGGATGATATTCATTATAGAGCAACAACGTTTTAAACAATACAATAACAACATTTGTGCAAAACAAAGACTTCCTGTACAAGAATAAATGTAACTAAAAACAAAAATGTGAGCAATTTCCCCGTATGAGCTCTGGTATTTGATCATCGTTTTTTGGGGACATTTTCATACACGGACTCCGTCTTCGATCTCTGAAAAGAGAGACAAACTCAGTCCGGAAACTGCTGATGCGACTGGAACAAACTTTTGTTTCTCTGTGCAAAGCTTATAGCCTACAAATACTGACGATTTTTTTTTTTTTTTTTTGAAAAACTAGATGAGATGCCACAAGACAAGAGGAAACGACATAAATCATGACTTTTCAAACCGTTAAATCATCAAACAGTTTCAGTTTTGCAGGTTTGTCTTGACAGTCTGTGCTGAGAATGACTGTCTTTCACACAACAGCAAAGACACTTGTTGCAGAACGTCTACAAACCAATGTCTGCTAAAGTCGCATCAGATAAACCGCAGAGACGCTGCAGCTCGAGGACACACTTCAGCAGAGGTGAGATGAGAGACAATTCTGTGACCTACTTTCTCTACAGATAAAATATAATGGTATAAAACCTGCTTTTGTATGGGTTATGCTATTTAAATAATAGCCTACAACGAGTGATTTTAAAGACTCGTCATGATCCAACTGCATTAAATCAAGAGTAATGATTTAGTCCAACGATCATTAAACTTAAATCACACTTACTGACTGAACAAACTTCTTACCTGTTGTTGTGTTAATGGTTTACTCGATGCTGAATCAGTTTAGTCTTTCTCCTGGGTCTGGACTGCATTAACATATTAGATATTTATACAGATTAATTGCTTGCTCTTCTGACCTGTTTTTTCTACATTTCTTACAGATGCAGAAGATCACAACTACAACAACAATCATCAGAGATCAACACTATGAACAATAAAGTAGGCCTTGATCTGTAATACACCATGTAAACAAGCATCCCGTCCACCAGTGCTATCTTCCGACTTGACTGATCAGTTGATGCGATGTCTGTGAGTCCTGTATGCATTACGTCCTGGCAGTGTTGGGGAAGCTACTCTGAAACTGTAGTTTGACAAGCTACAAGCTACTCGTACGTTAAAGTAGTTAAACTACAGTCAAGCTATCCTTTTGGAAAAGTAGTTAGCTACACTACAAGTTACTATCAAAAAGTAGCTAGCTACATTGAAACTACTTTTACTTTTTGAACAAAATATTATAAATATTATATTACCTATTATTATTATAAGATGTTATAAATTATATATTATAAATAACTGAATAAGTGTCTGGTGAATGTTTTAATTCAAATATTTAGTGTTTGAAACGATGCAATACAATTATGATTTCATAGAGTATTGTTTTATTACACACAACACTCAAATATCTCAGACTGTTTGTCAAAAAGGCAAAATTGCAACAAATAGCCTACAACATTGCAAGAACGAAATATACATTCAACATAAATTGCATTTAGAACGTTTTCTCAAAAATAACGATTGAACTTGGACAAATAAGACCATGGGTAATTAACGTTTGTTTCTCCATCCTCAAAATCTGCCATCACCTGGGTGTGTCACTGTCAACCCACTTCTTTACGTCAGTGAACCGTTAGATGCAAGATGCGTGATTAAACAACAGGTGGCGGTACTGGCAAAAAATGAGTTTGTAATCTAACAAGATGAAGAATATCCTTGCATCGGGCTGATTCGCGCAGGCTCGACAATGTAGCAATGTAGCTTTTGCTCGCGCTACACCGCTACTTGCTGCAAAAAGTAGTTAGCTACTGGAAAAGCTACACTGTTTAAAAAGCAACTGAGCTACTGCCAAGCTACTGAAAAATGTAGTTAAGTTAGTAGCTTCGCTACTTGTAGTTAACTACTCCCCAACACTGCATCCTGGTGAATAGAACTTCCAACTTGAGGCGACTGATGGTCTTCATGGGACATGTCTTTTGTCAGCTTCTCAAGTAGATGGATTAACTTGGACTTGTCATTGCATGGCAGAATTTCTCCATCAAGAGCGAACAATTCCCTTGGTGTCAGAGTAAATTTATTTTCCTATGGCCTCTTTCTGGTTGATGTCTCAATTTGACCTAGCAAGTAGCATCAGCCTTGTAAACAGGTCCTTGGTCTCCTTCAGATCCACAGTATTGTCTCGGAGTTTCACTGTAATCTTCTTGTTCCCGGAAAGGAACATCTTGTTGTTCTCTTTCTTCACAAGGGCCCAGAGGCTGGCATCTCCATTGATACGCTCTGACACATAGTCTTCATACAACTTCTGGCAAGGGACATCAGCATTCAAGATCTGTTGTACTCATCTGGGATGTAGGCTTTGCCTAATCACATTGTGCAGGTTTTCACCTTCATTGGTAAAGGGTTTTCTATGGTTGAGTATGGCTGGCTTGATCTTGTTGATTGTATCATGTGCCCTCTTGACGGCACTTGACCCAAGCTCATGATGTTCTGTGATTCTGTCAGCTTCCATGTTCAATTGACTCTTGAACTCAATTGACAGATGAGAAAGTTCTGGTGTGACCATGAAAAATCTCTGTCTGCCAATGATCCCAGAGCTAATCTTCATTAGCTTGTTCAGGTGACTGGTATATTGCCTGCTCGTAGTTCCTCCCATGTCTGAGGGTGATTGGTCTTCAAGTCATGCATGTCTGCGATGTATCTTGACCAGAGTCGCATTGTACTTGATGCAGTCCGTGGCAAAGAACAGCTTGCTCATTGCTCCTCCAGCTTGTAGATGGAGTTACTGGTCAGCATTCCGAGTTGCTACTATAAAGGACAGGATTGTTTCCACACAATAGGTAATTCATCATGGTTCGAATTCTGTTCCGTCCATTTCTTGAATGATGTGATGACCTCAGCACTCCATGAAGCAAGCAAGCAAACAGCACCCTCCTGAAAGCATTGGCGGGCATGGAGTTTCACGGAACCACACACGGGAAGCAAAAGATCCAAATGCAGTATGTTTAATAATGAGGGCAATCCAAAATCATATTCATCCAAGCAGGGGTCAAAAAATAAGAACAAAAACAAGAATAAGCAGGGAAACAGACCTCGCAAGTGGCAACATATAACCAGGACTCCGTAACGAATAACACAGTCTCATCCCAAATCGTCATATAACTGACGTTTTGGGATGTATTTTGACCATACGTCAATATCCGCCTTTTTAGGGCCCCCTTAAACGTCGGTAGATGGCGATCCCGGGCCGTCATACAACTGACGCTTTACCTTTAACGTCAGTTAGGTGACGGGTTAGGTTTAGGGTTAAGTTTAGGTATGGGGTAGAGTTAGGATCCCATAACCTCATCTACCGACGTTTAAGGGGGCCCTAAAAAGGCGAATATTGACGTATGGTCAAAAGACGTCCCAAAACGTCAGTTATATGACGATTTGGGATGAGACCGGGTTGTAACGAACAGTAACACAGAGGCTATGTTTACACGGAAACGATTCTGAAAAGAAAACGCAAAAGTGGCGTTGCGTCATCACTTTTATTCTGCGTTTAGACGAGCGTTTTGTGTGGAAAATTTGCGTGCAAACGGTGACGCAAAAGTGTGCGAAATTCAATGTACTATACACTCCAGGCGGCTAGGAGTGCATACTACAACAACACCAAGTCCACGCGCCTGCGTACAACCTTCACTGTCGAGCAGACTTTTGCGTTTTTACCGTTTACACGGGAACGCGGCGGTGGAGCGTTTTTAAGATTTCCACTCTGGAGGGTGGTTTCACTTTTTTGCGTTTTTAAGCCTCAAAAACGCCGTCGCCGTGTAAACGAAAGGCACATCCGATAAAAATATTTTTACGTTTTCACCCGCGAGCGTTCTCGTGTAAACAGGGCCAGAGAGGGAATATATACACACAGATCTAACAAGGTGATGGGAAACAGCTGAGTGCAATGGACTGATGAGTGACAGACAGAATGCTGGGAAATGAAGTCAAATGTGAAAGACACCGTGAGAATGAGGACCTCTAGTGACGACCCAAGGAATAACAACCAGACACTGAGTACCCCCTCTCTACGGAGCGCTACCAGACGTGACTCAGAAGAGGTGTGACGAATAACAAGGACTCTGTAACAAACACTGAACAGGCAGGGTATTTATTCACACAGAACACGACATCATGAGGGGAACAGCTGAGTGCAATGAACAGTGATGATCGCAGACAAGGATTGTGGGGAATGCAAAAGTGAATGACGCCGTGGGGAAAGAGGACCTCTAGTGGATACCAGGGAACATAAACCAGACACTGTGACACATAATGCAGGTTTGCTCTGGTAACTGAAGTGTTACTTTTTCCTTTTGTTCTTTTTGGATAGTTACCAGGGGGCTAAGCAGATGTTGAAACTGTGTCTGCTTCTGTGACCTGAGAGAATAGCGCTTTTTAGAGGCCATTGTGAGCCCAGGGGCAGGATGTGGCTTTAACTCCTGCAGGTAAACGAAGCGGTAAAAGTGTAGTGAGCTTTTTGTGCGCAGACTCTTAGGACATTAATGTTCTTTGTATGTAGAAAAGTAATTGCATACCTTGTAAGGAATCCGTTCTGTAATGGGACTGCCCCCTAACGCTTAACCAAGCCATATAAAAGCTTATGTTTCCTGTTTCTCTGGGCTGCAACTTTTTGGGGTGAAGACTTTACACGCTTTTCTTTTATTTTTCTCTTTTTGAATTTATTATCTTTGTATCATTCTGAAAATTTTGAGTTAAACGTAACCATTTGTTTGGTGATTCAATAACCTTTTTGAAAAGTCTCAGAGAGATTTTTTCCTAGAAATATCTTTATTTGAAATTGGATATTTTATAAGCAAAAGGCCCCTGTGAGACGAATCCAGGATTGAGGTAGAGCGGACACCGCCGAGGACTCTGATACAGCTTTCAACACCACTAACCATCAGGTGAGCGCATTATGAAATGTAGATTGCATGTAAATGGTGAGGGGAGATGTTATTAGGGATTACAGTAGTATAAAAATACAACAGTTTCCAAATCTAACTTTATATTTCGTTAATCACTGTCTTGTTGGCTCTAACATAGCACCGTTTTGAAACATGTCAGCAACAGCAACTAGCTAAGCTTAAAATATGTTTTACACAGCGGGGTTAGTTGTAGCACAGTGTTACAACTAAGCCGCCAAGTGTACAGTGACAATCAAGTGAAAACAGGAAGCCACACAACTTTTCAGGTTTGAGTATTTATTGATATATTTAACATTGTTGGATGTTCACAAACAATGTTGGAATTTAAAATGTTTAAAATTGAGTTTACTATGCATTGATCACTTGTTTATTTATTAAAAATATGGCCTGTTTTTAATGCAATAAACCCTAAGCTCATTTGTATTATTATTACTGTTATTATTAATAATAATAATAATTTTACATGCAGCTGCCACACACAAATCTAATTCAATTGCAATGACAAGATTTGATGATTTTATTTATTTATTGCAAAACTGTGCAGCCCTTTTCTATGTCTCTGTCCATGATATTGATCCACAATAGAAGGATGATTGGATGAGGGATGGATGTATAGATATCGATCTATACAGATGCACAAACAATATCAAACTATACTAGTACTGTAAATATATATAGGCCTCCTCTCATGCTGATGGGATAGATGTATTGATTGTTGATGACGTGTTGATTGGATAGATCATTTGAACGTTCTACTGCCGAACTTTTAATAAAACATCATGTCTTGTAATTTTTTTTAAGAAAATGTTTATGTTTTTTGTGTGCTCTCTGATGTATCCCTAACAAGTTAGCATGAGAGAGGTGAAAGTTTACATTTTGTAAAATATATACTGTACTATTTACTATATACATGCATACAACAATGTCTACAAAATGTTGGTATGTTCATAAATATAAAATCGGGTGATTATTCATTTTGCTGATATGAATGATCTTCTTTATTTAAGGGGATCTGTTCACCATATAAAAAGAAACTGTGAACCAGACTACAGACGACAAGAGACAGGATCATCATGCCGGGGGTTAAGGATTTCGCCATCAAAATACTGAAATACCTGAAAAATTCATCTCTTTTCCAATCTCTTCCATTAAACATTTTCTCAATCGGATTGGAGGCCTTGATGGATCATCTCTTCTCATGCCCTTGCGACAAATCTGTGAATAAATGGTTTACTTCGGGCATATTCATTGGACCTGCTTTTTTTACTTTTTGTTTAATGTTCCTCTTTTTAAGGCCTTTTAAATATAAATGGTTTCATTGCCCAGATGGAGAGGATGATGAAACTCTGAAGAACTGGCCTAAAACTTTCATAACTTGTCTGATTCCACCTGTAATGTGGATCTTCATCTTGTTTCTTGATGGAGATTATGTTGCTTGTGGAAATGCAGCCTGTGATGGATCTTATGTTTTTGATGAGGAGCTAAAAATATCGTGGTGTAAACCCATTTCTGAAGATAATATCCGGTCCTGCAGGAACTCTCATGGAAATATACAAGACACACTTATTCATTTGCATTGGTCTAAGGTAAATACAGTATAATACAATCTTTATCTTATGTACATTACAATAATACACATTAAATTAGTTTTGTCTGTACCTAATGCTTACAAAGAAAATTAAAATAACATGTTATCTGAAATACAAAAGCCTCAACATAAATATCATGATTACATGGATTGTTCTTCTATTATAATGTTTTTTTCTTTTCTTTTAGGTTTACGGTTATATCGTGATTTCTCTCTTCAGTGTCTTGGCAGTTGTCACAGTTGGTATTCATGACTGTTGCACATCTGGAAAATTGGACTGTTGCTGCTCAAGTCGCTGTTTATGCTTTTGGGGTCGTAGACGTCATGCGTCACAGTCTTCGTCTGCACCTGTCTGTATTCGTCTTCAATACACTTCCCAGGATTCCGCTCGTCTCCTCACCTGAACTCACTCATCAGCCACCTGTTTCTTGTTAATCATCATCTGTCTCACCTGTCTTCCCCTCGTTATTGTTCATCACTCTCTGCATTTAGTTTGCTTCAGTTCATTAAGTCCTTGCCGGTTGTCGTCAATGTATGGTTGAGTGTGTTTGTCCTGGAGAGTTTGTGTTTGTTCCTGTGAGTTGAGTTTTATAATAAATGAACTATATTGCAGTTATCATTTCCTCGTCTTCGGCATCCTACACGAACCCTGACATTATGCTCCCAACCGTCTAGTCCAACAGGGATCCACAGTGGAGGTGATAGTGGACGGCAGGACATAGAGCTTACTGATCGCTAGTGGTGGGCAGATCGAGGCTTTGTGGAGCAATGAAACCGTTGAAGCAAATGTGCCATATTGTTTCGAGGCTTCGAATCAATCCGACACCAGTCTCACAGTGACACCTAGTTGTCACTTCCAGGTGTTGCTCTGAAACAACCTTTACAACGGGCCATTCAAAAATTTGTTTTTTTTTATTATTGTTTTTTTTTTATTATTATTATAATATCTGTATATTTTATTTTTCTAATATATGAAGCTTGTGACCTGTAGTCTCTTCACATTGCACATTGCATCTTTATAAAAGAAATCAAGCCAAAATGTCTCACTTTCTTATAGATTTTTACTCAAAAATATTAATTTCTCTGCTGTCGAAGGACTCAGCCTGCTTACTTTTTTACAGATAATTTCTCCAGCCTTTGAAAAAATTTGCTCACAAGCAACACTTATTGCTGCCATGCAAAGATATTTTTTAGCAAAGACATACAAATGAGGAAAGATTACTGCTTTCAGTAAGTTAGTGACGTTGAACTAATGCTCCGTGCTCGTACCATGATAATGTTACATTGACCGCATTCAGCCGATGTGTAATGTTTTTATATCGAAAACAAAGCGGAGGTCTCTCCATAATTCAAAAGCTCTGCCGATGTTGATCCGTGTTTTCGTCCTGAGTCGTTCAGAATCTCGTTTTGCTTGATGAGCTTCAGCAGATAAAAGTTTTTTTGGAGTTTAATTGTCTTGGAGTGTGTGTTGTGCTGGAGGCAGGTCGTTTTGGGGGGTTATCAGACTCATGTTGTCTGCAGTGCCGTCACATAGACTGTATTAAAAAAAGGAGATAAGCTTGGAAGCGCGCATGCACGTCACATCCGATGGATTTTGCAGAAAATCCGACCCGGAGACTTCACAAATAAATATGAATATATTGGCCTTCAGAGGTAATAGCAAAACCTGACAAGTGGATCGTTGCAAAGTGTGATTACAACCCCTTCACACACAGGCAATAAAAAAAGGATTTGTTTTAGAAGAAAAGTTCCATATAGCACCTTTAAATGAGCATGATCTCGAGTGTGATCGTAATATCCATGTTATGATGCAATCGTTCGCCTAATTTTACAAAAAACTGCTTCTACGGGGCCATAACGTAAGATACAAAGTAATGGAGCATTTTAGACATTGTCATGTTTCTTTAGAGATAAAAAATGGACAAATGGAGTATTTAAACGCCTCAGATGTAAAGTTATCCGTTGTCAAAGTGACTCTAAAATGAATGGGAGTGAATGGAATGCTAACAGCAGGTGATGGTCAGTACTGTAACTGTCTAAGGACATGTATTTTGTTGAGCTGTGTATTTGTTTTTGTTTTTATAAATTGATGTAAATTTGAGTTCATTTAAAAACAATTGTGATGTTCAGAAGCGGATATTTGTAGGTAAAATGCCTTCGAGGTGTTTAAAGTTAGGGGTTCTTCAAGGAGGATTTACGTAGGAAACGTGATGTCACATGACATGACCCCGTTCAGTTTTGAGCGGTTCTGCGTCATTTTGGGTCAGAACGAACATGGATGCAGAGAAACGACATGTAGTCTGAAAAGAATTGCTTAATCTGCATGTTTTGAGAGGCGCACACGGTAATTTACCTTTGTATATATTTCATAATGTTTATAATGTTGTTTTATATTATTTTACGTGCAAGATGTGATGTGCTTTTCATGATGCTTTTATATATTTCTTTTGTGATTCACTTTCATATCATGGGACATTCATTGGCACGAGAAACTTGTAAAGGACTGAGAAATGCATATTTTGAATATATGTTTTATTTATTTATTTTTTTTCACGGTGTCTATGGTGTCAACTGAGAAGAGAGAAAAAGAGATATGTACAAAATAAACGACAAAAGACATCTATGAAGCCGCGTGGCCTTTATTTCGTCAGACCAGTGCAGCTATAACTGCGGTCACGCCATCTACATTTAAAAATACCTTGCGCGTCTACACAAGGTTGCGTGGTAGGCGAAATGTGTGCGCTTGGTGTCGGCAGACTTTTAAAAGAAATGTTAAAAAATAAATTAAATCAAATGGTTTTTGCAAATTACACCAGATTATTGTTCTTAATCTCACTGACTACCACTGTGGGGATTTTGATGTTGTTACACTGCTTTATTCTTTAATATAAAGACAGGAGATTCGTCTCAAAACATCAAAATAATGCATATTTTCTCTCAAGGAGAGCTAAACTTTAGTCTGACTGAAAAGTAAGGCTTTAACAAAGAAATGGTGCCTTAAACTATTGGCTTCAGTGACCCCTATATGTTTTAACACATTGCAGACCTTTCTCAAACACAAGTCCATAATTAATCTCTAAATGAGCAAAGACTGTTACTGCATTCACATATCAAATACAGACATTAGAGACTACATGAAAAACATTTCAGTAATCACACTGGTAACTTCTAACAAATAAAATCTCACAAGCCTAGAGAAGTCATTTAACTCATTTAATATTTAGAAACATATCGATTAAAACCTTGATTATAAACACTCATTACATATACATGGAAGCAGCAGTGGATTCCAATCCACACACTTCAGTACTATCAACTAACACGAATGATCAACGTATAATTGAATTATTTAAAAAGTACAGTAGGCCCACATTTTCATGGTACAGAGCAACAACATTTTAGTGCAAAAAAAACAACAAATATAGACATCTTGTACAAGAATAAATGTGACTAAATCACAATGGTGAGACACCCAGTTGAGCTCTAACAAAATTTCAAGTAGATATGGTGTGATCATCGGTTTTTGGGGACATTTTCATACACAGACTCCGTCTTTGATTTCTGAAAGGAAACACAAACTCAGTCTGCTGATGTGACTGGCAATAAGTACACAAACTTTTGTTTCTCTGTGCAAAGCTTAATCTACAAATACTGAGGATTTTGTTTTGAAAAACTACTACAGAACAGATGCTATGGAGCAGCAAGAAGAAATGACATAAATCATGACTTTTCAAACTGTTAAATCATCAAACAGTTTCAGTTCTGCAGGTTTGTCTTGACAGTCTGTGCTGAGAATGACTGTCTTTCACACAACAGCAAAGACACTTGTTGCAGAACGTCTACAAACCAATGTCTGCTAAAGTTGCATCAGATAAACCGCAGAGACGCTGCAGCTCGAGGACACACTTCAGCAGAGGTGAGATGAGGAACAATTCTGTGACCTACTTTCTCTACAGTGGAAATATAATGGTATAAAACCTGATTTTGTATGGGTTATGCTATTTTGTATGCCTACAACGAGTGATTTTAAAGACTCGTCATCATGATCCAACTGCATTAAATCAAGAGGAATGATAGTCACACTTACTGACTGCAACAACTTCTTACCTGTTGTTGTGTTGTTGGTTTACTCGATGCTGAATCAGTTTTGTCTTTCTCCTGGGTCTGGACTGCATTAATAATAACCACAGATATTAAAACAGTTTCAATATTAGATATTTATACAGAATAATTGCTTGCTCTCCTGACCTGTTTTTCTACATTTCTTGCAGATGCAGATTATCACAATTATAACAACAATCATCAGAGATCCAGCAGAGATCAACACTATGAACAATAAAGGTAGGCCTTGATCTGTAATAGACATAATGAGCCATTAGTGTGAGTGAATCTGTCCGTCTGATCTACAGCTAACACTACGTTAGAAGTTTACAGTTTATTTTATAGACCATTTCCTTGAAGAAATCAGGACATAAGTGGTCGAAGGTGGACCAAAGTGACCAAGTAAAACTCCAGGCTTAAACGGGAATGTGTCTTCATAATAGCTTGTGATATTATGCATAAGCCATGAGCAGAATTATTTATTATATAATACATAATGTAGAAGTAGAGTAGTTTGCCATTGCAAGAGGTTAGGGAAATTGGTCTCCAGTCAGATTTTTCATTTGGACTGGCAACTATTTGTCTACACCATGCGATAGTTGTCACGGTACACATCAGAAATAAAAGATGACATCAGTTTATTGTCGAGAATTTCATGTCGCGCTGCATCTACTGTAGACAGCATCACTGATTATAATGGGTTATATTTACTTTTCCTGTGTTGCTCCACTCGCGTCGAGTGTAGACCATATCTGCTTGATGGGAGGTGTTGATCAAATGTGTTTTATGTTATCAGGGCCTCTTGCTTTCTGTGTGTCTAATCTTATAAGGGCTTGTTTTATCTGTCCTATACTTAAATTCATGCACTTTTGTTGATTTGGACAAAGAGCAAATTGCACACATGGATCAAAACATCATCAATAGATCAGCCTAATTAATCAATGTCAATTTTACCCCCATCATACCTGCACATGTGTGTCTGCAGAGTGTGTTGATGTCCAGATGTGTGGTCTGGTTGCTGATGGGATTGTTCAGCACACAGCTGTAGGTGTTTTTATCCTGATATTCCACCTCCAGAGGTAGAGAGAGACTGATGCTGAGATCACACACACTGATGCTGGACAATACACTCATTCCTGCGTACCAGGACAGAGTCGCATCACACACACTCAACACTGATGATGAACACACCAATGAACAATTGGATGATGATGATGAGCAATCTCTGGTAATGTTAGGAGTGACAAGAGGAGCTGGAAAACGTGACAGAATAATTAGAAATATGGATAAATCTAAACATCTTGAGTGAAGTGTGTTGATGATCTGAGTGTATATTGCCAAAAGTATTAGGATACCCCTCCAAATCATTGACCTTCCATGGTCAAATCCTATACTCCATCATGTCTACACATGTACGTCAGCCGAGTCTAACACTAGCGCGTCTACAAACAAATAAACCTAACTTGCTGCCCAGCTAACCAACAGACTTCAGACAATGCCTTTGAATATGCTTTAACACAGTCAGAAGATCAAATTTCAGAGAGAATCCCACCAGAAAACACGGATACAACAGTTTTTATAGAATAGGGGTATAGCAACAATGCCATGATGTATTACATCATATCCCTACAATTTGATTGGTTTTTATAGACAAACCCGTCTGTTACCAGGTAGAACCAAACTATGTGTTTGGTTTTAAGTTTAGACATCTGTCTAATTCCATTTCCTAGTATTCAGTTTAAAATTTCCATCACAATTGCAACAAAAATGTATTTTCTATTTACCCCTCAGAAAACCAAAAATCTGTTTAGTGAGTGAATTGTATGAAAGCTTGTTTCCGCCACAGAATACAATTCTGAATACAAGAGATCATTCTGACTTTGCAATTATGAATTTTTGTTCTTTTAATTATGACTTTTCTCCCGCAATTGGAAAAGTCCAATTCTGCAGGGGTAAAAAGGTCATATCTTGCAATTCTGAGGAAAAAAAAGTCTTAATTGTGAGATAAATAGTCGCAATTACCTTTTTTTATCTTTTATTAAGTGGTGGAAACAAGCTTCCTTAAAATGTAGCCAATCTGTTAACCTTAAAATACAACTTCTTTGCCAATGACAATACAGCACCAGAAAACCGTAAAATGATTGTAAGTACTTCGGAAGTTTCCTTTATTTGCTCCAAATTATAATCCACCCATTATAAGTGTGTCAGCATAACCTCCAAATGAGGGATGCTTATATAAACAATTTGTTGGTGTTTAACAACACAATGTTAAAATGGGTTGAGCTTAACTTGTGAACTTATTTATGTGAAGGACAAGAGTCAAGACAAAGGATATTTCTACTCACCATAGACAGAAACACTGAATGTTTTTGATGTCAGTTTTGCTCCATTTATCTCTAGTTTATAAACTCCAGTGTGTTCAGTTGTGGTGTGTGTGATGATCAGAGATCCAGTTTGATCGTCCAGCTTCAGTCTGTCTCTGAATCTCCCATCAGGAACGTCATCATATGTGGTGAAGATTCGGTTCCCAATGCTGATTTTAGCTATAAGAGACTTTTTAGGTCCATATTTCCATAGTATGTCGTCGTCTTCATGTATTTTAGTGAGATCAGTGTTTAGAGTGACGGTATCTCCCTCCATCACTGACACTGATTCACTAAACACACCTGATGAACATGAACAGGATCAGATTAAGATTTGTGTTTACAAAGCCTCAAGTCAGCTGTAGTTAATTTATTTTTGACAAATAGACTACGAAAGGGGATTTTTAGAGTTTGCTTAATATGTCCACTGCCTTAAAATCAATTTGAAACCACCAAAAAGTGACACTTTTTGAGCCTGCAATGCGTAGATGTTTCCATTATTTCCTGACTTAATGTTTAAATACACTTTTAAAGGCCTGCAAATCACGATTTGACTTCAAATCAGATCACGCGCAATCTCTGTTCTGAAATATTAAGCAATAAAAATGTTTTATAACTTACCGATCAGATGGCACCAGCACAAACAGAATAAAACAAGAACGTGAAACATTTTGTTCAGCAGTTCAGTGTCTGATGTAAAACTATCTGCTGGAAACACTTAAGCTGGTGTGAATCCTCCCACAACAAAGTGTAGCCCTCCAAGTTCACACATCTGAACGCCCCTCATGTAGTTGCATTATACTCTTCTGGCTCATAATACTGTAAAATACATATTTTTGTATCATTCATATGTAGATGTCTAGTGTGTGAATCATCTTGAATTGTATGGGTAGAAGGAGCTTAATGACCTCAAAATGGTTTTATAATTCAGTTGAATTATGGGGTGATCAATTATATCAATGTACTGTATGTGGGAAAACAACTGAAAAGATTGTTTGCTATTTCACGCTGCGTGAGCTGTGAGCTGTGACATTAGCAGCTTAACTTCTGAGTAAAACTGAAACTTGCTGTGGTCAGACTTCAATAGGAACATGATTTTATCTAAAAAAAAGTCTCAAATCTAAAAACAGTCAAAGAGTCGCAGTTCAGAGGTTTCAGAGGAAACTGATTCTAACCCATCATGCATCATTGATAAACAAGGATTATGTATATATGAGTATATTTAATATACATAAATAAGGATTTTTGCTGTCTTTCAATATCACACGTTAATTTGATTGTACAATTCACTTAAATGTGTAAAATGTTAGGTTAACTTTAATTTAGTTGGGACTACAGTATGATTAATTTTCATTGCATAACTAGATTAGGGTTAGGGGTCAGGACCTATGTCAGGAATATTACAAGTATTTACAGATGGATCCCTTAATAACTCACAAGTAATCTCTTTCTCATAAGGAAACAACGTAGATTGGCAGAAACAGTTGAGCATGTGTTGATTCATTAACAGAGAAATAGTATGTTTAAAGAATCATCAAGTTACATAGGAATTAATAAGTTATCAGTAATAAGCATATTTCCAGTCAATGGTTTTTAGTGGTTTATAGTGTTGTAGCCTGACTGAGGGATTGGAGCTATCTACGGGAAACAGGACGGTTTAACAGAATATAGCCTGGAATAATTTATTTTCTATTTTATTTGTATGATTATTATTATTTATTACTTTATCTGTCAATGGTTCACACTCCTCTCCAGTTGGTGTCGGTAAATGCAGTGTAATAGCGAAAGCCGCACAGAATCAAAGTTTTTTTCTCTTCCGCAAGCAAGTTAGTCACAAGAAAGTGACTCGAAGCTTGAAAGCAGAGAAAGTTTGCATTTCTTTCTTAGACGAAGATCAACATGATAATGAAACCTTTCTTTCTTTTGCTTTGCATTTGTTTCAACCATGGTAAGATACGCCTATGTTTCTTCCGGTGTTTTATGCTAGCAGCTATTTGCAGCATGCTATAGTGTCCGCATAAAACAGTTATGTTTGCCGTTGTAAAAGTTATGTTTTTAGTCAGAACAGTCCCAGAAATGGGTGGCATGCTTCATGTGATACGACCTGTCAGAGACATTAGTAAGCGTGAAATGTGTTTTGACTGTGGCGAATATTTGTTGTTACAGCTATTACGTGTGTTGTGATTAGGCTTGAGGCTTTACTGAGCTTTGAACAAACACCGAAGTCTATCATACGAAACCATGCAAATATAGGCTATAAGTCAGAACACCGGACAGTAGTGTACGTGACGCAGTTCATTATCAACGCTTTATATACAGCTTACTTCATATTTCATATATTATCATTTATATTTCTGTTTTTTTTTTTTTGGTCGACCATTAAAAAAGTATATGAAATCTCGCTGTCAAGGCCAATGAAGCTATAACGTTGATCAATATTGTATGAGTATTGTTCAAATAAGTCCATGTAAATGCTCAGTTTGGTAGCCAATCTATAAATATGGCATTAGTGTGTACAAATGATCCATAAACTGAACGATTGTTAATGTTGAATGTAATTAAAGGCCAAGTACCGAAGGTGTGGAGGCAGCTATTGTATCTGTTGGCCTCGTTAGATTCAGAGCGTCATGCCGAGTCGACTGTTATCCAATTTTCCCAGATCGGCCATTTTGAATTATGTGCTAAAATGCTGTATTTTTTTAACGTATGAACGAATTGTTACGAAACTTGGTATGGGTCATCATTACGATGCCTTGAAGGCAAAATGTAATTTTTAAATGCTTATAACTCTGGCTGTGGTTGACTTATTTTCACGAGAGTCATCTCATTGGGTTCCTGAATCCTTGCTGAGTTCACAGATACCAAACATGTTAGGATTCGGCTCATGGTTTGTGTAACGTTTTGATTTAGCGCTAAAAAACATTTGCCGATATCTTCGAAACCGTTAGTCCGATCGAGACAAAACCACTGTCAGAGGTTTGGAAACATAGCTTGTTAGCTAAATGCCAATGTCCAAATGCCAAAATATTGATAGTAAGGGGTAGTAAAATCCAATCAAAGTCACGTGTCAGTCATTTTTGATGCTTTTTTTTCCTTTCACATAAATGTCTATAACTCTGAAGCGAATTGAGATATTTTCACCAAATTTGGCACACGCATGTATGGGCTCATTTTGAGGATGCATGAAAAAAATTGTGGGATGGCTATAATAGAAAAAAAACATGAAATTCCCATTGACTTCAAAACAGCTTTGTGATGTATAATAATACTTAACAAATGCATTTTTGTAACATTATGAAACTCAGAATTTGCCACCAGCACCATCCCCTGAAGGTACTCAAAAGTGACACCTGTTGATCAAAAGTTAAAATTAAATTTCCAAAAATGCTAATAACTTTTGAAAAAAACTGCTTATTGTAATGACACTGGTCATAATAGATTTCTTGGGTCATGCCGAGAACATAGATACCAAGTTTGACGTATTTGGACGAACTTCATGTCCGCCATCTTTATTTACTTTCAAAACCTTCTTTTTTGAACTTCTCCTAGACCATTCGTCCGATTTTCACCAAAATCAATATCATCTACAGACCATGCCGACTAAAAGTTATGGATTTTGTGACGATAGATGAAACCGTTTTCGTATACTGCAGCAGCAAATTTGAGGCATGTTGCCAAAATGACTATTTAGGCTTTATCTCTGCAATGCCTTCACATTTTATTCTGCTCTTGCTTTGATGGGTTAGCATAGCAGATAGCTAACATAAGACCCATTAAATAAAGACCCAGGAAACCGGAGTAGAGAGAGGCCTTTAGTAAGGTTCTTTCCAATTTTGTAAAACTGTGAAAACATAATAACATGGCATTACAAACTGCCCATACATATACGTGAATATTCAACTCAAGTCTAATATATATAGCTATCCCATAAGAAAAATTAGTCATTTTAAAGAGACTTGTAGGACTAGTTAGCATTTAAGCTAACATTAACATGGATGTCTATGGAGAAATGCTAATCGCGATTAGCATCTATTAATACAACATACATATTATGCTAAAACGGACAATACACAAAGAATACAGCAAAGTAGATATACTTTTTACAGAAATACTTACAGACTTAGACCTTCAAAAACTACCAAGGCAAAGAGAAAAGAGTAACTGCTGCGTGACCTCTCAGTAGATCAGAGTGAGTCAGAAGCACATGGGCAAAAACAACGGCAAGAGAGGAGGGACTAAATATGAGAACTCAAATGCAATATAAATTTACACCACTAGATGTCTCTAATGCAACACAAAGAGGGGCAGAACACATTTTGACACCAAACTTTGTGTCATTGCCACCTATTTGTCGAAATTGATAAACCATTAAATCATCTTAAAAGTTACTGTATATATGATTTTTCAGCCATTTTACCAAAGTTCTCTTAAAATGCCTTTAATTGCTCCTTGCTGCAGTCGGTCTGCCACTCCTAGCCATTTTGGCATATGTTGCCGCTTCTTGCGCTTGGCCCCGGTAATGGCTGCTTGCAGCTATATTTCGAGTTGCTTTTGGATAAAAAGGTTTTCCACAAGATTAGATAAAAACATGTTATAGTATGTGCCAGACTAAAAACAACATTTGGTATGGCATGTCAGAAAAATTTTACGGGTAAAATTCATTAAGTAAAAAATTGTTGGTTTTGTGAATGCAAAGCTTAAATACACAAGCTCATATTTTACATAGGCCTTTGCGGATTATGCAAAATATAAATAATCTTAACAAAATAAGAGGAATGATAATGTCACTATGATTTTGAGATCCTTTTTTTATCATATCCTTCAGAAGCTACTTAATAGATTTAACAAAAAAAAAACACAAAATATGGACAATTTACCCCAATTACCACATTTAAAAAAGCAAAAAAATAAACAATTCACTGCAGTTTCCAATTTGTTTTATTTGGCTCATAATTATCTGTTAATTTCTTCTCCAGGTGTGTCTGGTGTTGATACAGATGAAGTGTCAGTGCCAGTGATGGAGGGAGATTCAGTCACTCTATACACTGGTGTTCAAACAAACCAACAAGAAAAGATTAGATGGTATTATAATGACATTCGCATCGCTCAAATCAATGGAGACCAGAGTAAGATCTGTACAGATGTTCAGTGTAATGAAGATACTGAGAGATTCAGAGACAGACTGAAGCTGGATCATCAGACTGGATCTCTGACCATCATGAACACCACAAACACAGATGCTGGAGTTTATAAACTAAAGATAATCAGCAGCAGCAGCGACAGGGAGAAGATCTTCAACGTTTCTGTTCATGGTGAGTCATTATGTTTAAAATAAAGACTTGTCCATTTAAATCACATCATAATTGTGTTCAGTGATTTTTTTTTCATTGACATTCTTAGTTTATAGTATGTACTGTATTTTACATGCCGTGGATAGATTTTGTACAACCAAGCATTTATTTTACTATAAAATGGATTATTCCGGTCCAAAAATTATTACCCCCCAAAAAGATCCTCCAATCATCTGTTGGTTTGTGTTTCAGGTGTTTCTGCTGCTGAACAAGAATATGAAATTAAAAGAAAGACTGTGAAGGAAAGCGAATCTGTCACTTTATACACTGGTGCAATAAGAAATCTGAATGATTCAGTAACATGCTATATTAATGAGATGCTCATCGCTGAAATCACTGGAGATCAGAGTCAGATCTGTACAGATGTTCAGTGTAAAGAGATATTCAGGGATAGACTGAAGCTGGATCATCAGACTGGATCTCTGATCATCACAAACACCACAAACACAGACTCTGGAGAATATAAACTACAGATCAGAAACAGCAGATTCAGCATCACTAAGATCTTCAGTGTTTCTGTCACTGGTGAGTCTCATCTAATTGTTAAATTCATTTTACCTTGAGCAATTTCAAAAATTGAAATCATGAATGTTTTCACTGTGGCCTGTTTATAAAGTTTGGACTCTATATGTACAGGTGTAAATGTCAGTCAAATTATCCAACTTATTTTTCAGGTATATATAATAATGTCGATAAAACAGCTCATTATGCCGCTTGATATTGAAAACTAGTGTTTCTAACCATATTATTTGAATGTACTGACTTAAAGGCACACCATGGAACTTTTAGCCACTAGTGGCGCTCGACCTGTAACTTTTATGTCTAGCGTCCCTAGAGGCCACAAGCTCCGCAACACTGTCGCAAAAGTCAACAAACAGTCAACCGTTCAGCCTCCCGTGTCTTTAGATTGTGTGTGCAGACAGAAGTTGAGTTGTTGGTTGGAGAGAGATAATCTACTCACTAGCTCTACTCAGGCAAAAACATCCGCCGGACCAAATACGTGCAAATAAAAAAAAAAATCAGTATCATGAGCGTACAAAATTACCACTACTAGCTACCAGATTGATAATTCGCTACTCTACTAGCATTACTTGATTCATGAAGATAAATGGAGGACTAGATAGATTCTGTAACATGGCCAGGCAGACAACAAATTCGAAAAAATAGAGATAGTGTGCAAGCAATATATTTAACTTACTAGTCCAAGCGCATGACGGCCAGGTCAGATTCTGTCTACTCCTTCTTTAGCTCACGCTAGCGAGCGAACGCTGGACCAATGTTGATCCTCGTTCTGGGTTTTAAATATCACTCTCCCTTTTTCTTTTTTTGTGTCCTCTGACAAAACCTTTGCCTTCTTCCTCATTGGTTCGGCCATGACGAAAACATACAGACGGGAATCAAACACGAGTTGAGCTCTCATGTCAGAATCCACGGAAGTTTGGGGTGGTGGGGGAAGTGACGTATGCCGTAAAGCGGTCGAATTTTGTAGTTCTCTTTGTGTTTGGGTTCCTACCCGAAATCTAAAAGCGATACTGACACTGTCAAGCTACGGCAGACGTGCAATTCGACCTATTGTAAGTCGATGTACCATCTCAAGGGTTTTGGTAATATATCATAAAGGTTAAAAAAAATACCTAGTGTGCCTTTAAATAGAAACACGCTGGTTTGTAGCAGAAACTGATATTGATATTCTTCTCGTTGATTCCCTATAGCGGGTAATAAATCAGAAATCTCACACAGTCACAGAAAACACATTATTTCTGCTTTGAAAAATAAAGGTGGATTGGTAAAGTTAATTATTAGTTGATCTCTATTAATAATGATGTGTTTGTGTGTGTTTAGCTGTTCCAGTTTCAGGTTCATCTTCAGCTGCTGTAGGAGGAATATGTGCTGCTGGTGTTATTCTGATTGTGGCTGCTGGGATTTACTGTCTCCACAGATCAAAACAAACAGGCAAGTATTACATAGCTGATCTTTAGTAATGTAATTGAGATGTATTTTACAAAAAGAATCTTTAAAAACGTGAAAGTGTGTATTTTTATATTTACTGACCAATGTAAGGCCATGTCAACACGGGCACAAGTATTTTTCTAACCGTGACTTTTTTTTTTATGCGGTTCGGCTTTTCGTCCACACGGAAACGCAGTATCAGGTCACTGAAACCGAACATTTCAGGGTGAGGATTTTCCGAAACGCCAGTTACAGTGTTGTAGTGTACAGTAAAACACCTCTCAGCCTCTTTTTTTTCAGCCTCTCAACGTCATAGTGTGCGCCATTATCCGCTGTGTTTGACGTCATAGTGTGCGCCGTTATCCGCTGTGTTTGACGTCAGATTGTGTGCCGTTATCTGGAACCGGTAATCATTTTTGGTAGGCTTCTGATTGGCCAACGTTGCTTTACGGTTAGGGCTATATCGCCACCTGCTGGTGTGGAAGGCTCTTGACAGCGCTTGATATCGCGTTTTCATGTTGACAGATTTTTTTTTAATCGAGCATTTGTGGACGGGAAAACTCTGGTTATAAAAATACCCGTGTCCGTGTGGACAAGGCCTGAGACTATGTTGTTGGTGTTGTTTAAACAGGTAACAGGACACTGCAAGTTGATTATCATCAGGTGAGATACTGTCAGCTCTGAAACTCTGTCTACAAAACACTGACTTTACTACAGATAGAGATCTGTAAGTGGTGTTTTATCTGTTTGAAGCTTTCTGTCTGAAACCATGTGTGGTCTCATTCAGAAATCAACACAGAGAAAAAAACTATAATTATTGAGTTATTTAAAGGGGCAATTCACCGCTGGTAAAATAGGCTTTCAATAAAACCTTTGAAATTAATTTTTTACATGTTTTATCAACAATATGTAAAGCGCCGGTCAAATTTTTTCAACAATACAATACAAAGCAGGTTAAAAAACAACAAAGTTACATTTTAAGAGAGCACTGATCTTGTGGTGTTTGACTTCAGAATGAAGAACAGGGTCTTCACATTCAGCAAACGTCAGAGATAAAAACACTGTTTGGTGTTTATGAAACTGAATCATCAATCCTGATCATCTGCTTTCTGTGAATCTGTTCCTATCTTTCAGGAGAATAATGACAGTGTGCCCGTTCAACTGATTGGTTATACACAGGCAGGTGCTGCTAACAGGACGTCCACTGGTCAGACTGGGAGCTGATGAGGAGATTCAACAGTAACATTATTATTTCAAAACTGTCAGTGTAAAGCAACATTAAGAGAGTTGAGAAAGTTTAGAAAAAGCAAATGGAAGTTTATCTGACTTTCAGCTAAATCAAGTCATACCTTATTAGTTTACTCTTTTAGAAAGTCATCAAAACGTTATCGTAGAAAACAATGGAAATGGGAAAAGGGTCCATTCATTTTGATCAGAACAAAACTTCTGCACATGTGCATTCAAAAGGAGAAAGTGGCCATGATAATCGCTGAAACCTCAAGTATAACTGCCATGTTTGCCTTGATAACAAACTCTACAAAAAGAAGGCTGACAGACAGCTTAAGAAGAGCATGGCTTTACTAAATATTCATTCTCACCCATCACCAGTTCATGAGATGCAAGACATTTGTCATTTGTTATTAATAGTTTTTTTTTATTATTGTTTTCCTATTGATACAAGCGTTTCAGATCTACACTGCCCTTTTCAGTCTGATGAAAACAGGATTGATTGGGGTGTTTACATGAAGGCTTGTCAATCCATCTGAGCCATCATTATGCACCTGATTATGTTACAATTTGTACAATTTTAGCAATGTCATCTAGGCAACACTATCAGCTGATGTGCTTGAAAGGTTCTCTCAGGGTTATTCCATTAATGAAAACAGAATGATTGTTCTTCAAATGCTCAAATACATCTGGAACAGCTCATTTAACCACATCTCTTATTCAACCAGCTTTGTTAACTCTAAACTAAGTTTTTTACCAGGAATACTTGATAAAATCTAGAGTATATTTCACACTCCACCCTGATGCTTGAATGTCTGGTTAAGGTTTTGTGGTTAAAAAAGGCAGTTTACAGAGTTGATTCGTGAAATATTAGCATTGTGTCCTTGATCAAACTCTGAATCTCAGGAACTGAACTTGTAAAAACTGCACTGATAGACTTGAAATATGTGTTGTAGCAGCTACAAAAATGACAAATATGTGTTTATGTATTGTCTATCGAATTGTTATACTCCATAAATGTCACTGGTTGCTGCGCAAGCATTTGGTGTTACGCATCTGAATAATGTTCTTGGTAAAATAATATTGTTATTATAGATTTCTTATATTACATGTTTAAATGTGTAAAAGTGAATTTATTTCATTGTTACAAAAACTGTAAAGCGTATCATTCTACCTTTTGTAAGCATTGCTGAATAGTTTTTTACAGTGAAATTCTTGTATCTGATGTGAGGAAGACCGAGACGTGTGGGGCGTTCAAGGTAAAGACTATACTGTGACATTATCCCTTTATTTACCTCCATTTTGTTTCAATTCTAAACTGTTTTTCAGTTTGATTTGATCATGTAATTTTGTTTCCTTGATGTGTTTGTATTTTAGAAAATATCACTGTGTGATGGAAATGATCATCTGCACTTGACTGGTCAGTTCAGTCTCTATCGACACATTTCCTGAAGAGCTAAAGAGAGAAGGTACAGGTAAAGTATGTTTGACTTGCTTTAACATAATCTGTTTGTCTGAACTATGGAAAATTGTTCTAATTGTGTAAATTTCTCTCTTTCACAGGTTTATATATATATATATATATATATATATATTCTTTATTTAAACATTGTACTGGCCAAGTAAAAGGTGCCTTAAACTTGAGTATGTAAACACATTTTTTAATATTGGAAATAAACTTGAAATATCTGTTGATGTGATAGATGTGATGGATTTTTAACAGAATCCAGTGTGTGTGTGTGTGTGTGTGTGTACTACTTACTGCTGTGTGTGCGCACTTGGATTGGTGAAATCAAATCAGCACAAATTCCCATTCTTGGCTACGGGTTACTTTCAGTTTCACTTTCATACGCTGATCAGCGCCCCCTGCTGGCCTCACTGACACCTCTCCATCAACCTGGTTTTCCCATGAGGTTTTAACCAGGCTCAACGCCGCTTAGATTCAGTGGGTGTGCAGGCGAAAGCTTCTGTCGTCCCATATACAACTGGACCAGAACTTTACAGACATAGATCAGACTGTCTTCTTCATGTTGTTCATTGCCATTTAGTTGCTAATCTCAAACTATGTTGTGAAAAATAAGGAGTAACTGGCGACGGGCCATAGAATTGTGAGAAAAAATAATGCAAAGTTTTGCACACGTGATGGTAATGCATGGCCAGTTTCTGTTAACAGTAAGCCCCGCCTCCTTCAAAATGATTGGCTAAACATTTTGACATTGACGAGCGGTGTTAGACGGCTCAGTCTGTCTGCAGGAATATGTTGTTGTTCTGCTGGTCTGATAATCACTGGGTAAACTACACAAGCAGGACAGATAGAAAGCATTAGCTAGCCTATATAAGGAATCATTGACGACGGGCCGTTAATGCAGTGCGGTAAAATAATTGCACCAACCAATCAGAATCAAGCCCTGTAGTATAGAACTGTTACAATCTATTATTCAAAACGTGCAATAGGAGGAAGTGCAATGATCGAGTAGTATGAAGCTGCAGACTCGGAGACCTGCATCTACAGTCCCCCTGCACCCAGAGTCCCGCATTCTCAGACCCCTCGTTTTTCGAGACAGCGCCTCCTATCAAATTGTATCGGATAAACATGTGAAGAACTTAAGACAAAACATGAGTAGCCTATCTTCAATTTTATTTAGCGATTCGTAGTAGACTACTCGTTTGATTTATTTTTTAATAAAACTAATTTAGCTCATCGATACAACATATGAATAGTCCATTTAATATTTGTAAAGATAGTTTGAAACAAGATTTGAGCCGTTAATGTATGTTTTTTCGCCCTCTTCTCCCCGAAAATATTTAGATAGCTTACAATTACGTTAGCCTTTAACTTTTTAACCTTGGACTTTTTGTAGAAATGTCAAATATGCAGTTATTTTCACTGCCCATTTTGTGCCCCCATATATTTCAAACAAACAAAATTGTCCAAAGTTCAAAAACATCTCAAGGGACACTTCAACAGAGAAGTGCAACATGGTATAACATTTGCAAACATTTTTTCTTTTTTTTTCTTTCTTTTTGAAACATCATAAGACATGTACTATCGGTCCTATGGAGTTGCCCCTGCCGAATCCAGCAACATATCATTTTATGATTATGCAAAGCGACTTATAAATGAGTTTTTTTTTAATGCAATTGAAGTCGAAAAGTAAAGTCAAAAACACTGTTTTTTCTTCCTTTTTTCTTTACAGCAAGATGATGTTTAGGTGATCATTAAATAAAGTACAGAATTGTTTATTATTGGTGTTTTGTCTATTCTGATTTGTTTTGCTTCGCATTCAAAATATCAAAAAAAAAAACAGATATTGTAATGTTAGCATGGTAATGTTAATTAGACCATTATAGGTTTAACTGAAAGAAAAATTGGAATTTGAATAAAAAAATATAATAAAAAAACATTGTAGCAATATAATATAGCCTACTATTTTTCTGAAGATAGTTCAATCTGCTAATTGTATCCCTTCCATCAGTAACAATTAGTTGTTTTTTTTTTTTTTTTGACGCATGCATTAAGCAGGGAACACAAATATTTATTGGATCATTTATTTGAAGACCGTAATATTGCATCCTATTGTTTTTAATTGCATTTGGATAATGCGCTGTACTCTGTGTGCGGGTGTTATTCGATCTTTTGAACAGCAGGAGGCGCTGTGTTCGAAAAACGAGGGGTCTGAGAATGCAGGACTCTCGTTGGGGGACTGTAGATGCAGGCTCCGAGTCTGCAGCTTCATAATATTGTGCAATGATCGGGTAATGTGTGTTTTTGTATTAGTCCTTCGCAGCTCCTCTATGTATGAGAACTGAACAGTATGATAATGTTATAGCGCAGCCTATCGGTGAAAAAGAGCACTGTTCTTAGAGAGACTAATTCAGATGATGTGATGTGCTTGTGTTACATTTGCCAGCATTGTTTGAGTGTAAAAAATGTTAGGGGATAGAATATACAGTTTAAAACTATTATGAAGAGCCCCCACAAATACAGTAAACCAGACATGGCCCAATGTTTAATAATTATAGTTGGAAAAAATGTCCATATGATCAGATGAAATAGAACATTTAAGTTGAGTTACTGTATGCTACTCAACTAATACAGGGCAACAACTTTTTAATTTAAACAATACAATAGTAACATGTGCAAAAAAACAAATATAGACAAGAGAATAAATGTAAATAAAACCAAAAATGTGAGCTAAATAGCATTGTCACAGTGGGTTGCAGGCAGATCGAAGGAGGTGATCATTTCAAATACAAAGTTTTTACAATCTAGAAGACAGGCAATCAGGTTGAGCAACACACACTTATAACGGTGACCGGACAATTGAGTGAGAGCAAAGGGACAACTTAAGAAGCAAACACAACGGTAATCGACTAAACTAGCTAACTATCGTAACCATGGGAACCGATGAGCGGCGTCTAACGGCTAAATGCATGTGAGACTGATGAAAACAAAAAGTCCACAGATCACAATGGTGACACCCAGTTGAGCTCTAACAAAAGTTCAAGTATGGTGTTTGATCATCGTTTTTTGGGGACATTTTCATACACAGACTCCGTCTTTGATTTCTGAAAGGAAACACAAACTCAGTCAGGAACCTGGTGTGATCACAAACTGGAAAAAATACTAGCAGCTACAGATGCTAACATGAAGCAGCAAGAGGAAATTACATCAATCTTGACTTTTTAAACAGTTAAATCATCAAACAGTTTCACTTCTGAAGGTTTTAATGCAGCTTCTGCTCCGAGAATGAATGTCTTTCGCACAAAAGCAACAGCAGAGACGCCGCACGTCAGTCAATGTCTGCTAAAGCTTCAGCTCAGCTCATGATAAACCGCAGAGACTCTGCAGCTCGAGGACACACATCAGCACAGGTGACATGAGTACCATCTCTGTGTCCTACTTTCTCGACAATTATAATGTTTAAAAGCTGATTTTGTATGGGTTAGGCAATTTAACTATGGCCAACAACACCGTAGAAAGATTTGTGGATGCTATGAAGTGGTGATATGATGTTATGAAATGAAGGCTGCAAAGCAAACAAGCATGTTGATCATTATTTGACGACAAAGCAAGAGGAGAAAGGATCAGGCCTGGACTTTATATGTTGAGTTTTTGTTTAAGTTAAAGCAGAGCTTCTCTGTGGGACTCACACCATGGCCTAATTGGCCCCACTTTTTTTTTTTTTAAATTTGCAAAATGGAAAATCTTACACAGAGGTGCAAATAGTGGCCTTCATAGGCTTTGTGTAAATACCATAAAAAACTCTCCTTTTGATCTGCTCTCTGCTGAAGGTAATAATGACAGTTGAGTCTAAAGACCACAAGCGTCTGTTCATTGGCCGTCTGCAAACTTCAATCACACTAACTGACTGTGACAACTTCTTACCTTTTGTCGTTTTGTTGGTTTACACAATGCTGAATCAGTCCTGTCTTCCTCCTCGCTCTCGACTGCATTTACAATAATCACAGATATGTTAAAACGACAGATTCACAATTATATTGATATTTAAACAGAATAATTGCTTACCTTTCTGACCTGTTTTTCTACGTTTCTTGCAGATGCAGAAGATCAAGACTACAGCAACAATCATCAGAGATCCAGCAGAAGCAGAGATCAACACTATGTAAAATAAAGGTAGGCCTTGACCTGTAATATACATGATGAGCCATAAGTGTGAGTGAATCTGTCCGTCTGACCTACAGCTAACACTATGTTAGAAGTTTAGGACATGAACATAAACCGAACTACTGTATGCAAATACTAAAAGAAGTATAAAATTATAGAAGCATCTAATACCAGTATGGTAGAACTAGCATTAGTGTCGTTAGCATTACGTGTTGTCCTTGTTGTGATTCTTTAGGCCCTGTTTAAACCTGGTTTTAATGTGTTTTGCTTGTTTGAATCACAAGTAGTCGGCGATAAATACAGGTGTAAACTGGGAATAGAACTTTTTAACCACTTCCTGAGGTAGTTGAAAATGATCGGATTGCTTTCATGAAGTGTTTCTCAAAACCAAGAATGCAAAGAACGGACTTGTGTTTTTGGGGAGAAATATAACGAGAATTATTGAAGATAACAGCCAGGCTGCAATGAGGGAAAAAATAGTCTTTTTGGCCGGTTGGCTCGCTAGCTAACACACCCGCAGGCACATATGGAGATTCACACTCCCGAAAACGTTTGAGCACATTTTTGATTCGCCATAAATTTTCGTCAAAATGCCTATATTTCAAATCTACACCGTTGATTTCTCGCATCAAATGTTCTCATTTAGTGATGAAATTGCGTACGTAATTGTCTCGAATGCCGAATTGAATGCTGGGAAATTTTTTTGCCGTCAAGTTATCACAAGTTACCAACCGATGCATCCTCTAGTCTGTAAAATAGGCGTGTCAAGAACACATCCGGGATTTTTAACCATTCCTGCCAAAATGCAAACTTGTGTATTGGGATAGTACTTGGGCCACAAAAGATGACGTTTCTCAAGATCACAAGGACAGACAAGTACACAGATTGACAAAGACCCATAGTGTAAACGCTCATGTGATCGAATACGTTCGAACAGCCTTTAAACACCACCTTGTCCATTAACTGAAAGATCTGAAAAGCACATACATTTACCCGCTCATAGAAATAGAAACAAATCTGGAGAGAAGTGGTTGAAAGTAGACAAAAGAGACGGATTAAAACACTAGGTCTTAACGGGAATGTCTTTCTCATCTAGTGTACTTGTGATCCGATCGACCAAAACGTGTTTTAATACCAGGTGGAAACCAATGAGTTTTTGCAACCTAGTTGGTGGAAAAGATTGTGAAAGTAATGAACTTTCTGAGACGTTCATATATTAATTTGATGGCGGTTAGCTCTCTCCGAGCTTCCAGATCATAGATGATGAATTAGTTCATCCGCTAATCCGTTGTGCTCTTTTCTGTATCCTTTACAATTGAGCCGCTTGCTTTTCTGTGCAAATATCCTAATTTAAATAAAATGCAAAACAACTTTTACAGAAATTTCATTAAACTTTAGTTTCTACAGACAAACGCAGCTGCTGTATGCAAATAGTTGGCCATGCAGATAGTTTTTACAACAAAGGTATTTGATCTTAATAATTCAGACCTGTAAAATAAGGGTTTTTTAAGTTTATATAAATTAGGATGGTTTACTTAAATTTTACCGGTTTTGGGGGGCTGGGAGTTATTTTACCGTTTTTTTGTAATTTTTGTAATGTTAAAAACATTTGTATGTAATTTACATTTAAGAAAACTTACATTTAACAAAAAAACCTGTAATTTTTGTGTATAAAAAATGCGATTTACTGTAATTTGTCATAAATTTCATAATAGTTAAAATAACAGCTTAGTTACAGTTTAGAAATTTACAGTTTGTAATTTTAGAGAGTTTTAAGTAAAATTTAAAATAAAATAATCTTAGCGGGGGAACAATCAATTGTTTTCTGTAAAAAAACTATCTATGATTTATATATATATAGTGTTTGATAATTTCCATTCAGTTGTCTGACTAAGTGAAATTCTTGGTATTTTGACCGTAATACCACATGCCTCACATTATGCATGGTGCTGGTTGTGTTGGAAATTTTACAAAGCATGTAATCATTTCTACAGAATTTGTTTCTAAAGACAAAGCATGTGCCTCCATTTCCATTTTATTCTGTCTCTTTCTATGTCTTTTAACTTTGGCACGTGCTATTGTGCATAAGTCTTGTGCATTACTAATAATTACTTCACGGGTTGACATATGGAGTCTTTTACCAATGTAAGAAGTTAAGAAGAATGGTCTCTAGTCAGATTTTCGTGGGCTCTTAACGGTCTCTATTCGGATGGGCAACCTTTGCAAGTAGGCATACAGTGTTCGCCAGTGCAAGTAAGCAACAATTACGCGCCGTTCTGCGTGTCTTTAGAAGGGCTTGTTTTATCTGTCCTATACTACAAAATCCATGCATTTTGGTTGGTTTTGGCCAAATAACAAATTGCACACATGCATCAAATCATCAGCTCTGTAACTTGATAGATCAGCTTATGTTAACATTTACACCAACTTACCTTCACGTGTGTGGCAGAGTGTGTTGATGTCCAGATGTGTGGTCTGGTTGCTGATGGGATTGTTCAGCACACAGCTGTAGGTGTTTTTATCCTGATATTCCACCTCCAGAGGTAGAGAGAGACTGATGCTGAGATCACACACACTGATGCTGGACAATACACTCATTCCTGCGTACCAGGACAGAGTCGCATCACACACACTCAACACTGATGAACACACCACTGAACATGATGATGATGATGATGATGAGCTATGTTTGGTAATGTTAGGAGTGGGCAGATGAGCTGGAAAACAAGAGAATAAACAGAAATATGGATAAATCTAAAAATCAATCTTATTTTGAGTGTAGTAAGTGTATCGCGCGCGCACACACACTACGAAATTTTGAAACATTTGAGTGTATAAATATTTAAAGGAATATTATGGGTTAATTTCAAGTTAAGCTCAATCTTAAGCATTTTTGACATATTGATTGCCACAAAAATGTGTTTCCATTTTTCCACCAAAAAAAAATAAATAAATAAATAAAAATACCGCTGAAACGCTGAGTGGTAATTCCACCTTGGAATAAAAACGTAAAATATAATTGCAAATTTTTAATTTCATAATACTGACTTTTTTCTCACGTTTTTTTCTCGAATTCCGACTTTTTTTAAGTTAAAAAGCCCAATTCAGAGGAAAAACGTTGTTTCCGTAGAATTGCGAGTTTATAAAATGCCAACAACATGCGCGTTAACATGGTTTTAGTATGAAAAATCACTTGCCAACCTTTACTGTGTAAAGTTATAGCCAATTTTACAACTTTTTTCCCACGACAATATGCCATAAAACGTAAAATGACACTAAAAGTGCTTCTGAAGTTTCCTTCGAATCCTCCAAATATTGGCCTCATTGACATCAATTATAAGTGTCTCACCGTTACAGTACCTCCAAATGAGGGATGAGCCTAAATGATCTTTACGTGGTAATCGACTCAATGCTACAAATGTTGTGGATTTAGTTTAACTTGAAGGACGAGACAAATGATCTCTACTCACCATAGACAGAGACATTGAATGTTGTTGTTGATAGTTTTGCTCCATTTAACTCTAGTTTATAGACTCCAGTGTGTTCAGTTGTGGTGTGTGTGATGGTCAGAGATCCAGTTTGATTGTCCAGCTTCAGTCTGTCTCTGAATCTCCCATCAGGAACATCATCATATGTGGAGAAGATTCGGTTCTCTTTGCTGATTTTAGCTATCAGAGACTTTTCAGCTCCAAATTTCCACAGTATGTCTTCGTCTTCATGTATTTTCGTGGAAGTGTGTAAAGTGATAGAATCTCCCTCCATCACTGACTGTATTTTATTTGTTTCAGAGCCAAACACACCTAGAGAGTGAACAGGAACAGATTAAGTCTTCTTTTTGTTTTATTTATTTATTTATTTATTTTTACAAAGCCTGCTAGCTAGTTTTAAATAATACATTAATTGCTAGAAATTGCTGTCTGTTACTCTGTTCTGAAGTATGAAGTCATGCAAATGCTTATAACTTACCATTTAGACGGCACCAGCACAAACAGAACAAAATAAACACGAGAAACATTTTCTTCAGTAGTTCAGTGAAAAGTTTGACCTAAATAGACTATCTGCTTGATCAAGCTGGTGTGAGTCCTCCCACAATGAGTTTTACCCACCTTCACACAACCGGAACGCATGTCACATAGTCTATAGTTCCTTCAAAATAATCCTCGGCCTCGTAATAAGACTAACTTTTTTAATTGTGGATTTTAAAAATCATTTAACATTGATAATGTTGCATGATGTTGTGTATTAAATACTGTGCTTATAAGACCATTGTATAAATTTCTTTGAATTACATGGGTAAAAAAAAGATTGACTTGATTTCAAAATTATTTTATAATTATTATTTATTTTTTAATGTGGGAAAAAAGCAAAACGAAAACTGTCTGCATGCTCAAATTGCCACTATTGAGGTGTGAATCTTCTGTGCAACATGAGTCAAACTAAAACCTGTGGTTTGATTTCTACAGAAACATGGTTTGATCTGCAAAATGGACAAACATCTTGGCCATTGGTTTGATGCGAGCCTCTTCCTGTCCTGCTGTTATGAGCCTCACAGTGTGATTTCCTCTTTAGGTAATCCTGCTTTACAGAGTAATAAACTACTGAATCAATCCATCAAAACTAAAAACAGTCAAAGAGTCAATATGTGAGTGCTGTGACTAGTCTCTGTTAGCAGTGGCAAGGTTGTTGTTGTTGATGCGTAATAAATAGATAGATAGAATAGAATGGGAAGTTCTTAAGTTAGTCCTTAAGTTGTTTCTTGTAAATAGCTAAAGAGTAGATCAGTTTGAGTTAGGCAGGTCATTCCACCAGCAGGGAACAGTCCTTGTAAAGCTCAATGAAAGTGGTTTTGTGTCTCTTTTGGGACAATGGCACAACAAGGCACTGCACACTTGCATCTGGAGGACATATAGGTCTGACATAGTGAGTTTATAGGGGAGCAGAGCCAGTGGAGCGTTCTGGATCAGTTGCAGAGGCCTGACAATCAAATCTGGATAGAACACAGTAAATAATACACTAAAAATAAGGACTTTTTCTGATTTGTTTATTCTTTTGTTAAAAAAGTTATTTTGACGCAAATTAATTTCAGTATGTTCAATCCACTTTAGGATAGTATAGGTTATTTCAGTACGTACATATTGGCTTTGAAAGCATATGAACCCACCCTCCCTAAGAACATCTACAAAGCCACGCCTCCTTCAAAACACATGAACACACAGCAGAATGTGCGATAGGCTACTTCATGATGCCAGAGAAAGTCTTAAACAACCTCATGTATCAAAGCACATAACATTACAGTAATAATCAGCGTAAACAACTCGCAGAGCTCTAGTTTATAAACTGACTGCTGTAGATTAATTTCGGCATCAGTAGTGTTGACATAGGAATGCATAAATCTGAGTCTGAGGACGTGAACTGACATGGTTCGGGAGAAACTGTAAGGTGTCCACAACTCTGCATAGCCTTTATCGTGTATAGTGGCCATCACATTCGCACTTCTTGCTGGAAGTAGAATCAGCAGGAACTATTCGCCTACTGGTTTACTATGAATTTAAACATACTCTTACATATCTGACCATATGGAAAATGGTCATTCCCCATTCCCTGCGTGGAAGGTTGTTTATTAGCCCGGTTTTGTAAGGTTCATTTCAATTAATTTTGTTTTCTTTCAATTAAAACTTTATTTTGTTCTGAAATTTTTAAATAAGCCATGTTGAAAAAGATCCTTTTAAAGTTTTAGACTTAATCTTTATAATACTTCCATCCATTATTCAAACCATCTATTATCCAAACCATTGTACCTATAAGGGTTGAGCTTGAGCCTCACCCATTGAGTCACAGGTGGGGATAAAGAACAGGTAAAGAACCCTATTTTCTAAGAGTGATATATATATATATATATATATATATATATATATATATATATATATGTGTGTGTGTGTGTGTGTGTGTGTGTGTGTGTGTGTGTGTCCCCGTTTATGTATAAAGATTTTCCAAAAAATAATAATAAAAAAAGACTGTGGGTACATCAGACAACTTACTTTCCTGGCTGGAGGAGATTAAAGGGTTAGTTCACCCAAAAATGAAAATTCTGTCAGTATTTACTCACCCTCATGTTGTTCCAACCCCGTAAGACCTTCGTTTATCTTCGGAACACAAATTAAGATATTTAAGATATTAAGATCGCTCCTGCATACTAGTCCATAGGCTTCTTGAGGGAATGACACTTGCTAGCATAGGAAAGTCATCAAAGACATCGTTAAAATAGTCCAAGTGACTACAGGGGCTCAATCTTAAGTTTATCAAATGACGAGAACACTTTTGTGCGCAAAAACAAACAAAAATAACGACTTTATTTAAAAAATTTACTTCCTTTTCCATGGGCCTGTAGTCAGTTAACGTAGTGTGATAGCGTAGAGCTACGTCACACGAAGACTCACTATTGGCCGACGCTGGTCATGTGTGTGGTGTGTGACGTACAATAACAGAAGCTTACGCTATTAAACTAGTAACCTGACTCGCGCGGAGGGAGAAATAAATGAATAGTTAAAATAAAGTCGTTATTTATGTTGTTTTTGCGCACAAAAAGTGTTCTCGTCGTTTGATAAACTTAAGATTGAGTCACTCTAGTCACTTGGGATATTTTAACGATGTCCTTTAATGACTTTTCGAGGCCAGCAAGTCATTCCCTCAAGAAGCCTATGGACTGTATGCAGGAGCGATGATCTTAATATCTTAAATATCTTAATTTGTGTTCCGAAGATGAACGAAGGTCTTACGGGGTTGGAACAACATGAGGGTGAGTAAATTCATTTTTGGGTGAACTAACCCTTTAAGGATTACCATAATATAAATGGCAGGCTATAGATGAAAAATAAGCACCCAAGTGGATTTTGTGAATATTGTCAGGTTACAGAATCTATAAAACATTTGAGTTGCAAACAATATGAAGAACAGAGGAAAAATAGGATGTAAGAATTAGAAAAAAATTAAATAACAGAATTACTAGAAAGTGGTGAGAACGAACAAAGCAGAAGATTCCTTTAACAAGGAAATGAATGATGAAAAGAATATGATGTAATGACGTTAAGGAACGTGAACCCGGAAGATGTCAGTAGTGCTCCGCTTCTGGATGCAAGCTGCCATTAAATCCCAAGGAAGAAGAAGTTCCTTTCTCTTTCTCCAAACAGGAAGAGCGATTCCCGATCTCTGTTTTTAGGGGTTCAAGCACGAAGTGCTGAAACCCTATTGTAATTGTATTGATTTTTATTATTATTATTATTCTGCCGTAAAACGCATCGTGCAGACCAAACCGTAAGGGCTGGAGACCTGAAACTTTGTCAGATGGTAGTACAAAAATCGAGGAGAGGTTATCAAATTATGAGCCCAATTGGCCCATAGGTGGCGCTATAGCGACCAATTGCGCGAAATGGCTCATAGCTCCTAGACCGTAAGTCGTACACTCAAGTGTCTTATATCATTGGAAAGCTGGTCACCTGACGAAAAAAACGTATATCTCCGATTTCATTTCCGGTATGCAAATTTTTCCGCCATTTTGAATTTTGTCAAAAAACTACTTTTGCGAACTAGTCCCTGGATTTTTGCCCGATCGGAACCAAACCAGTGCAGAAATGTTCTCTGGAGTCTGAAGATCAATAATTATCAAAAAAATGTTGAAATTTCTCGTTTCGGTCGCTAGGGGAAGCAAAATAAACGTTGTGGGAGGAGCCTATTTTACTAAAATGGCTATAACTCGAGAAGTAAATGAGATATCTTCACCAAACTCGGTACACATGTGTAAGAGTTCAATTTGAGGTGACAGTAAAAAAATCGCGACGATTGAACACTAGGTGGCGCTATAAAATGAAAAAAACAGATAAACACCTGACCGTCAGTCCGATTGACTTGAAAATTGGTATGCAGTGTCTTGGTCCAAGGCCTCATGTAAGTCTATAAGGACATTGGTGTATCTCAAAAAACATGGCCGCCATCGGCCAATGAAGTTTGAGCATCTATGAAACAAGGTTAACGAAGGCCGATCGGAACGAAACTCGTTGGGAATGTTCGACTCATGGCCCTAGAGGTCTGTAAGAATTTTGAAAGAAATCGGCCACTAGTTGGCGCTAACGAGTTTTATTGCTCTGTAATCACGTGGTGTTGCAAACACCCCCACAAAATGTATATCAATTGATAGATCTCCTCATGATGAACAACTTTGCCTCAAGAACCATTGCTGTCAATCAATTCGTTCGTTAAATATTCACGAATATGTTAAAAACCTACTTTTGCGAACTAGTCCCTGGTTTTTTGCCCGATCGGAACCAGACTAGTCTAGGATAATTCTTTGGACTCTCTTGATCAATAATTATCCAAAAAAAGTTCAACTTTGTCATTTGTCTTGCTATAACAGGGTCATTTACAAAAGGGCGTGACAAAAAGCCCCCAAAAGCCTGTAAATCCTAAAGAAAAACTCAGAACTTTACAAAAATTGATGAGCATATGTGTCATAACATGCTGAAGAAGCATGCACAGTTTCATGGAGATCGGACCATAGGTGGCGCTATAACTGTTAAAAAGCTTTAAAACCATGTATTTCCAATGGTAAATTGCCAGTATTGGCTGTAAATGGTGTTTTCCATCTCTGATCATATCATAATGTTAAAACCAGTGCAGTACAATTCTCTGGACTCTCTAGATCAATAATTATAACAAAAAGTTGAACTACGTCATGTGGATGACTATAATAGGATGGCTTCAACATTTAGTGTGTTGAAGCCATCTATTACTACACTTTCAGTGTCCCTGAAAGCGTTGATCTCTTCAATAAACAAGTCAGAACACGTGACATTAAATAATCATGAACATTTTCAGACAGATCTGACAAAATATGCCTAAATAACAGTTAAAAAAGGTGAAATGATATCAAAATGATGGTCTATTAAGCCAATAAGTGGTGTTTTACTGCCCTCTGCTGTTCAAAATAGTAAGTGTCTCACTACTCAACTATAATTAATATTATGACTTTATTAATGATCTATTTTAACATTTGCAATCACATTTAGTCAAATATTGATCACAATCATTTTTTTTGTCAAAGTTTATCACTTCAGTTGTTCTGAATCTTCACATAATTGCTATTAACGTGGTAAATAGCTATACTATATTCCTAGAATCACATTAAAATCCAATCATCCAAGCCCCAATCACTGTAAATAATGATAAATCATGCTAGAACGTGGTAAATTAATGTACACTATGGTCAGAGGTGTAGTGGTAAAAAAAGAGGTGGGTAAACTATAAATTCTGGTGTATTATTTCGAATAATAAGACACTATGGGCTGTTACTCTAGGGGCTGATCAAATTAAATCATTTACACTGAAAAAACACAATTGCATAAAATAATGTTATGACATTTATTTAAATTTACATAAGAAACTGGGAAAGAATGATACTACTTTTAAACATTTAACACTAAACCGCCAGTAGGTGGTGGCAGGCGACCGTCTTAATGAGTGAGTCATTCAATTCATTCATTCAAACGATTCGTTTGATCATTCAAGAATGAGACCGATGTTTTTGAATGTGTCTTTGAATCTTTGACTCAATCGATTCGTTCAAAATGCTGAATGATTCAGTAATGAAAACACGTCGAGTGTTCCTGTGACATGTGCCGTGGTTCTGCTGTGTTGTTTGGAACTATTTTCGCTGCTGAAACACAACAAAAACAGCCAATATAGCATCTAAAATGTAAGTGATTTAATTTTTTACTGTTTATTGAACTGTTGTAGGAAATCAATGTCACATTTTCAATCGTGATGGTGTTCAGGAAAAATAAGAGACCCCATTTACACCTGGTATTAAAATGCGATCTGTATCCAGACAAGTTATCCGGATAATAAGTACCGATTCCATTTACACCTGGCCACATACATGTGTTTTTGCAAAACGGATATAAATCCGATCTTAAACTCCCGCGTACGCAGATTTAATGGATTGAACGACACCAAAAGCAACAGATATGAGCTGCATTTCGTTGATCATCAGCTAATTTCCAAATCAAAGACATCAATAAAAGAGTGGAAACACCGCTGGTAAGATAATTTCGTTTCTTTACTTGAAGATGATTGTGTGTTAAGCGTCTGTGACTTACTTTCACTTTTATTTGCGATGTTTGCACGTTGGCTCGATGAATAGACGCTCATGAGCGGTGATGGGTGATCCGTGTCGCAGTAGCGCCGTCATATCTGACTATAACATGACTTATAGCCTATATAACAAGCTTACTCGTTTATTTTTTTGCCTTTTTGGGAGGAGTAAAATATACATATGTGGTTTCAACAACCAGATTGCGTTTACACCTAGTAAAGATCCGGACACAATGCGAGCCAGACTACCTGCAGATGTGGTCAGGCAGATCCAATCGCGATCACAACGCATTTACACCTTGCATTAACATGCGTTTTTTTATTATCCGGATAACTTATCTGGATACAGATCGCATTTTAATACCAGGTGTAAATGGGGTCTGAGTGTGTTCTGCGCTCATTTGTGTAGATTTCTGCTCGAGAGGCTGCGCGAGGGTCAACAGTACAACCTTACCGTCAGTAATAGTCAACAACACAGTAATGCAGCGCAATATAAGAGTTCGTCTTAGGTGCCTGTTGACTTTGGATCAATGCATTGTTTGTGTGTTGTTGCATAAGGAGATAAAGAAATAATACAATTGGTGACAGTGATCAATCAACACAAAAGGAACAATGATATAAATGAACAAAGATATGAGTACTAATCACAATAAAACAGGCTGTAAAAAAATCATTGAAACAAACAATCTTTCAACATGGCTCAGGGCACATGTCTGGCAAACAAATTAATCAATTAGCAGCGCACAGGCTGACAGTGACATTAAATCATAAAAAGGCATAAACAATGTAAACACAATCAAATTAATAGATGGACTCACGTAATTCATGAAGACACACACAGTTATGCATCAAAATGCCAGGAAAGAGTGCAAAGAATGAGCCAAAGGGTTCACAATCAATTTATAGGCAACAGGTGAGTCGTGCATGGTGAAGTGGCAGAGTCTCATTGAAAAAGCGAAATGGAGTTGAAAGAGATTAGAAAGGAAATCTTTTCAATTACTATTATGAATTATTTAATTATATCCATTATGCAATATTGGTTGGTGTTTTTCTATAAATCCAGCAATGAACATGTAACAAGAAAAGTCATTGAGAAGAAAATAACAGTCAGCCATTACCTCATGAACCATGGTTAAACCAACAACTAATAAAATACAATTGTGAACATTATGAACCCCAACACCACGGTGAAGGACGCTTAACAGACAGAATAAGTTAGGGATTACGCAAAGCCTGCGGGTTTATATTTGCTGTAACAACCGCCTCGCTCTACATTACCCTGCTTATTACATTGCTACCTACCAAGTAAATCAATAATTTGACTCAAAATATAGATATAAACAGGAGTTTATTGATTTAAAAAACGATTGCCGATAAAAAAGAAAAATAGTCCGTTCTGTCTCTACGTTTAGAATCCATGGCAACGCTCTGTTTTTCGTGGCAACGGTGTGTTATACTTATAAGCAGCGGCCTGTTATAATAACAGACCGCACTCTACATTAGAATTCAACCAAGCCATATAAGAAACAAATAATTACCGTTACCGAGCTAACAGAGCTACGTAAACAGAGCGAACAGGAGAGCACTCGTCTGCAGACGTCAATAATGGAATATACTCCCGATCAAACTCCGCTTCCCGAAAGTTATAAACTGCCTCTGGAACCTAGTTAAGGTACAAACATCTATTCAACAAAAATAGTGATGCAGTTAAGTGTTTTTTCGCTCAGCCGAGCCCTCTCTGTTGCTGTGTGGAGCAGCCTGTGTCAGTCACCTCTTCCTGAACGTCGCTCACTCAACTCGCGCACTGCGGTCTCGTGAGGAACGCAGCTTTTTGACATACAGTATTTCTTGTTCCCGAACACAAATATTTTTTAAGTATTTGTTCGGAATAAGTATTCGTAAAAAACACATTATTTGTGCCTTTCCGAATACCGTATTCGGCTCCACCCCTAGTACACACTATATTTTGCATTGTTAATTTATTTAACAAATTTCTTTTTGTTAATGTTTTGCAGTCAAACTATACATATACTGTACACACTATAAATGTGTGTGTGTTTGTGTGTGTGTGTGTGCGTGTGCGTGCGTTTGTGTGTAAGCATGCTTTATGAAGTTAACATGAAAAAAATGGTTTGCTTTAGTGCAGAATAGTGGAGAAACAAAGCATTTCAAAATGGAAGTGTGCCAATAAGTGGTCTTCTACTGCCCTCTGCTGGCCACTTTTCTTATTAATAGTCTTTTCACTTGCTATATTGTGGTAAACCATCCTATAACATGGTATATCAAGGTAAACTATGGAAAATCATGTTAGATTCATGGTAAATCATACTAGAACATGGTAAATCATGAAAAATAACATTGAAATATGGTTTATCATGGTAAATAATGCTTGCTACATAAAACTTAATGTCTTTTGATGCTTTTGTGCTTAAAGGCCTTAAAGGCCTAAACTGCTTGAACCCCGCAAAATGCTGCTTGCAGCTTTAATTATTATTATTATTTGTATGCTCGTTCTCTGTTGTGGATCTGAATCTGCAGTGCTGTATTCGGAAGAGTGGTGCAGATGAAGTTTCTCATTTGTTTGTCGGTATTTCTCTGCTGTTTACTCGATCATAGTAAGGCCTAGTTTCTCTTATTCTTGCAGACGTTGTTTTGTGAACTCTAGTCGCTATAGAGGCAAAATTGACATGCATCCACGTTTATATTTTGCTGTGTGTTTTTATTTGATATATATTTATCATTTGTATTTGGTTGTGTGTGCGTTTCTCGGTGCCAATGTCGTTATCGGTGGTAATTCCGCTATTCTTTAACATTGAGAACGATGGTTTTTTACCGATCGTTATCGTTTCAAGTTGGCCTATCGTTCTTGATGTTAACAGGCCTTAAGGCTAAAGACCAATAAATAAAATCCGGCTTTTAAATAGCCTTATCATCGTGTTTTCTTAAAGTAGAATCAAAAGTGTTTATAATATTGGCATTGGATTACAATAAGACTATGCAAAAGAGAAATGTTCTTACAGATTTGAAGTCATGTCTCCAAACAATGCCATCCCTTTATTTCTTTATAAACTGCTTGAACTAGAGAGTCTCCAATCTCAAATCCACATCCAATCTCTAGTAGAGACTCATCAGTTTAATATCTGGTTTTGTTTTGGACACTAAAATCAGAGGAAATGAGGAAATCGACTCTGCCGAAAGAGACATTATAAGTAGATGTCAGAATTCACACAGCACCTCTTATGGGTATAAAACCAATAATTCATTTCTATATTAATAACAAATGGAATGGGATTTATATGCAATGAACAAACTTCCTAAAATCAGCACCAATGTTGGAAGAATGATTGCTATCAAATCTCAAACCGATGGGATCAGATTTTTTAAACTTGTGGCAGAATCGGCCATGCAGGAGGCCACGCATGTTTATAATACTACTAGGATATCCAACAACATGTTATTTCTGTCAAAACTCTTTATCACTGAATTGATTTGTCCATATTAAGACACTTTTTTGTATTTGTTTTACTCTATTGAAGATTTAAAAAAGTGAAATCAAATGTAGTTTGAGTTTTTATCAATATTAAATTGTAAACACCTGCTGTAGTTTTACCCTAACTTTTTCTTGCCATTAAATAGTCACAGAATCTGGCATGGTGTTAAAGACAAACAAACAAGGAAACACAACGCATTCATAAATGCTACATGATATATTTACATGTTTACTACAAGACAAAATAAGATGATTTACCTTGAACATCCAATACAAAAAAGCTTGTAATGCATCACACTTCTCTCCTGAGCATCAGCAAATGTTTTCACCTTTTTAAATATTTGCCTATGAGTCCTTCATACCTCAGTGTGAAAAGATGAATCTTAAAATCATACAGTCACTGCTGAAATACATGGGTTAAAATATGTAATGTTATGTGAAATAGCTTATTCAGGACCAAATAGAAAACATGACTTTTTTTTTATTCCTTCTTGTTAAAATGAACACAGCACGTGTTATACAACATTATGAGCAGAATTATGAATCAGGATGTTTTTTTTTATGATGATCATCAAGTTGCAATAGATCCTTCATGAGACTCATGTATGATTGTCTGATGAGTGAAAGTGTGAATCAATGATGATCTTCTGATGTTTGATTACATGTTACATTATAAATCAAGACCGATTTCTCTATTCACAATCTTCATGAACACTGTCACAGCACTTTCCTGTTATATAAATTTGTTTAGCTCATAATGAACTCTTCATTTCTTCTTCAGGTTCGTCTGGTGTTGAGCCAGAGAGAGTGTCAGTGATGGTGGGAGATTCAGTCACTCTACACACTGGTGTTCAAACAAGCCAACAAGACAATATTAGATGGTATTATAATGACATTCGCATCGCTCAAATCAATAGAGACCAGAGTAAGATCTGTACAGATGATCAGTGTAATGAAGATACTGAGAGATTCAGAGACAGACTGAAGCTGGATCATCAGACTGGATCTCTGACCATCATGAACACCAGAAACACACACTCTGGAGAATATAAACTGAAGATCAGCAGCGGCAGCAGCGACAGTGAAAAGATCTTCATTGTTTCAGTCACTGGTGAGTCATTATATTTTAAAGCAAGTCTTGTACATTTAAATCACATCATTAAAGGGTTTGTATATGGTCCTTTTTAATATGGGGTGGGTTCTCTGGCTATAGCCCAATTTATTTTTCAAAAGACCTGAATCTTTTTGGTTTCTTCTTAATAATGTCGTCAAAAATATACAATTTTTTGATACACATCACCTAAAATATTTTAAACGTTTCCAATATCACTTTTACCACATTATCAACACAGCGATACCAGCTCTCTCTTCTCTCTGACAGCGGGTTCACGCACACACCAGTCCTGCTTAGCCACGTCTCCTTTCACTTCCACTGTAGCACATTTGTCATCTAAACATTAATTCCTGAGTCATTGAATACTAGTACATTTAACATGTACAGTATCTGCACGACTCCAACTGCATCTTTGTGCTCAGACTGTCATTTCTGTAATGTACAGCACAATTTCAATAGCCCAGCGATCCTCGTTTCCTTTAAAACATTCAAGTGGAGCTTGTCATTGGAAAAGTATTCCAAAAACAGTGAATCCATTATATTTATAGCTTAAAGTTGAAACGGAAGTTTATAAGGGTAAATATCAAATATCAGAGGGAAACGGCTTCTGGAACAAGAACAAATGTAGTGCGGGGCTTGATTTTGTCCATGACATGTCATTTATGAGGGAGATTCATGCAGCAGGAGTATAAATCATATTTTGTAGTTCAAACTTGACATTGTATCTTAATGTGGTGAAAATTAAAGCAATTTTAATGAAGAACAAAGTACAAATATTATGAGCAGTATTCATCTATTTAATATTAATAATTTTGAGTATGAAAATACTTGGTTGTGTGTGAATGTACAGATAGGAAGGGGGTAATATCAGATGTGGGCTGCATGTACAGTATGTTTATCCGAGTTCAGTTATTTTCTTCTGCTGTTTGTTTACATGAGTTACATTATGAATTCAGACAGATTTCTCTACTCAAAATGTTAATGAACATGGTCACCACAATTTCCTGTTGTATAATGTTGCTAGGCTCATTATGAACTATTTATTTCTTCTTCAGGTTCATATAGTGTTGATACAAATGAAGTGTCAGTGACGGAGGGAGATTCAGTCACTCTATACACTGGTGTTCAAACAAACCAACAAGATATTAAATGGTATTTTAGTGACACTCGCATCGCTCAAATCAGTGGATATCTCGGTAAGATCTGTACAGATGTTCAGTGTAATGAAGGCACTGAGAGATTCAGAGGCAGACTGAAGCTGGATAATCAGACTGGATCTCTGACCATCATGAACACCAGAAACACACACTCTGGAGAATATACACTGAAGATCAGCAGCAGCGATAGTGACAAGATCTTCAGTGTTTCTGTCACTGGTGAGTCATTATGTTAAAAGCAAGTGTTGGACATTTAAATCACATCATTAATGTGTTCAGTGAACTATTTTGCTTTGACATTAAGAGGTGTTTTTTTTTTTATCTTTACATATAAAATCTCATTATTGTTCATATAAGTTACACTGTTGCAATGCCTGTTTTAGTTTAATTGAACCCCTCTTTCCGAAAAGCGCAGTCAGCTTTTATTATTAGTCAGCCGAGCCCAGTGTGTTGTAATTTGGTCTACCGCTAGTGTGTGTGTGTGTCAGAAATGTAACCATAACTGTGCACTGTAAACACTACTGTAGCTGCTCTGGTGTCCGTTTTGCTTATCAGTTCAATCAGTTAAAGATTCTCATTTACTCTCCCTCATTTTGATCCAATCTTCAGAACACAAATTAAGATATATTTTATATAATTTGAGCTTTTTCTGTCTGTCCATTTGACAGTCTACGCAACTGGTGCTTCAAAAAGTACATAAAGAGATATGAATTGAGCAGTTTAGTCCAATGATGATGATCAGATTTAACTTGGGCTTTAATTCGTATAAATTAGGGATGGGCATTTTCAAAAATATTGCATTAGGATATTTGGGCTCATAAAAAATGAGTATCCTTATATTTGTTTATTTGTATATATTCTTTTTTAAAATAATTTTGTCATTCAGAATCATTATATTTCAACAAGCTTAGCAAAATACACAACATGCTTGCATTACATCTTGAGGTTTTCTTTTACTTGAAATAATTAGAGAATGTGTGTAAAAATATACAGTATAAAAGCATCAAGCTGAACTACCTTTACAACTTTTCACAGTGATAATTCTTTACTTTCTAATGTTAAATTAATTTTGAGCATGCACTGTTTCATAAGTTCATTGGCCTTCCAAATGACCAAGTAGAGTGAGATTGCTGTTGAAAACACAGTTTCTCTTGAACATGGCTAAAAAAATGCAACTAACTCAACCGCATCCCTTTATGTAGTGTATTCCTTGGATGGGAATTATTTTAAAAAGGACTATTGTGATGTGTTTGTTCCTGAAAAAAAAAACACTCAAGACTACAATTTAAATGAGTTCAGAAACTGATATAGAGAATAACTCCTGGAGAGGCTTTACAGAGTTTATTTCATGCTCAAACAGCAATATCATACACTAAAAAAGATGAACATGGGGAAAAGCATTAAAGGTGCTCTATAAACACATTTTGCATTGGTTAGTTGTTAGTTTTATCGCTCAGTTTTGTTCTGGACATTTTCTTATTTCTGATCAGTCTGTTAATGTCTATTTTAATACATCAGCATATAAAGTGCAATGTTGATTATAATGTAAAAGTTGCTTTTCAAACTGAAAGTCAAAGCATGTTTTATTGCACTGTGTAAAAAAGATCCTCCAGCATCTGTTGGTTTGTGTTTCAGGTGTTTCTGGACGAGATGAAGCGAAGAGAAAGACAGCGAAGGAGGGAGAATCTGTTACTTTACATCCTGATGTAATAAGAAAACCAAATGATGTGATGACGTGGTATTTTAATGAGATTCTCATCGCTGAAATCACTGGAGATCAGAGTCAGATCTGTACAGATGATCAGTGTGATGAGAGATTCAGAGACAGACTGAAACTGGATCATCAGACTGGATCTCTGAACATCACACACACCACAAACACACACTCTGGAGAATATAAACTACAGATCAACAACAGCAGATTCAGCATCACTAAGATCTTCAGTGTTTCTGTCACTGGTGAGTTTCCTTTCATCATTCAGTGCATTTTCACTTGATTATTTTTATAATACAGTCTGAAATAGTGCAACTTAAATCCTCCCAGTAAATGTGTTCATTGTGGATAATCTCCATAATGTAATGCCGACAAAGTGATTGATAGTTTTCACATTGAGTCACATTATGAATTGTACAATTTTGAGTTGTTTTGTTAATGATGAAAAAACATGCTCAATATTAGTCAGTTTTCATGTGAACGGCATTGATTTTGCTGCTGTTGCTCAAACACACACCATTTATCAAATGAATCAACATCATACAACTTTACACTGAAAGCATAAAGGTGTAAAAATCAGTCAACAATATTGATAATAGAGAGTTGATTATCAGTCGATCTCTAGTGATAATGTGTGTGTGTGTGTGTGTCTTCATCTGTTCCAGATTCAGGATTATCTTCAGCTGCTTTAGGAGCAATATGTGCTGCTGTTGGTGTTGCTGTTATTCTGCTCGTGGCTGCTGTGATTTACTATCGCCACAGATCAAAACAATCAGGCAAGTGTTACATGCAGCTGATTGTGGAAAATATAAATAAGATATTTAATGTGCAAAATATTCTTTAAAAACATGTATAATTATGTATTTTTATTCTAAGTGACCAAAGAGTGTGTTGTTGTTCAAACAGGAAACAGTACACAGCGAGATGATCATGATCAGGTGAGATACTGTGAGCTCTGAGTCTCTGTCTGTGAAACACTGACTTTACTACAGATTGGTGTTTGTTAGTAGTGTGTATCACGACCCGATTGCATGAAAACCCTTTATTAACAAAAATATATAAAATTTATATTTTATATAAAAACATATCAAATATATATATTTCTGTCAAACTCTCAGTGGAAAAGATGGAAAAAATTATGAAACTGAAGAAATAAACTAGATTAACTATGTAAGTCGGAAGAACTGGTTGAAGAGATCAACTTCACCACATGTCTGAGACGAAGGACATTGCTTGCAAATTAACATTTGAACACCTCTCTCACACACACTCCTTCCCCGCATCCCCACAGACCACAGTAACTTTCCACTGTAAACTCATGTTTTACATATCAAATGAGGTCTGGATATATAAAGAAAGAAAATCCTGTCATCCAGCCATCTCCTCTCTTCTTCTTTCATCCTCATCCTTTTTACCAAAAACATGTTTTAGGTGGACGGATTAATACAGTACAAAGAACATAAAAATATATAAAAATAAAGTATTTTCTGTTAACCAAATGCTTTTTAATCTTCGCTTTTGCTTCACTGAAATTGAACAAGTGCGTCATTTTCTTTTGTCCGTTGTGACGTGGATGTTCAAGTAAGCCAGATATGCACAGATTATTTAATATATCATGATGAATCACGAGTATTTGCTCTAAATCTGCACATATTTGTCTCACACACACTTCCCCAGTAAAGTGAGGAAACAGTAACACACTAAATTTGACAGCGTTATCCGCCACAGTTGATTTTTAATCACATTTGTTCATTTCAATCCCTGGTTGCAACACATGACAGAACTAAAGGAAACACTTAATCAATTACAGGATAATATTTAAAGATGAGCTTAAGGTTTTTTTCTTGTAACCCATGTTTCACCAAGGGCTTCACTTAAACTTATAACTGTGTCTTCTTAATTTGAGGACTTTGTTGCAACCAGACCGTTTGAGTTTCATTTATAAATCATCACACAGAATCACTGATAATAACAGGCTTATTTAGGAGAGTGCTTCTCTTGTCTTGTTTTACTTCAGAAATAAAGAATAGGTGTCTTTACATTCACAAACATCAGAGAGAAAACACATTCCGGGGTTTTAACCAAAATCATCAATCCTGAACATTTGTTTGACCCTGTAAGAGAAA